TAACTCTTTTAGCCTGAATTCATTCGTGATATGTTGTGATTCGGCTATGTATGTGTGTACCAACTACTGATCCAGGGATTGGTACTGATAAACACAAGAGATTTCCGATTTCCAAAATCGGGTGGTCGACAGAGCTGGTATCAGAGTATATCGATTGTAGTTCGAGACCCTAGATAGAATGGTCGTTAGTTTAAGGACCCTATATTTTACAAAGCTATTTTTAAGTGCTGAAAAGAAAAAAAAATGTGAAAACATTCAAATGTTGTTTTCCCATCTTACCTCTTCAAAAATGTTTAATTCCGATGCGCCGAAAAAAAATTATTTTGATACCATACATCTCAACCCTTTCTTTGAAAAGGCTATCTTACTACTTCATTTGTGATTGAAAAATATTGGTTCTATATTCTTACATGTACTTCAAAATTGTAGGATAAGACCGTAAGAAATTAAGACGCCATAGGAATATTATTGATTGCTGTCGAAACCTCATCCTCGAAACTAGACGATTGCATCATATTGTACAAAAACAAAGTAAAGAAAAGAGAAAAGATCAGAAACTAACTTATCGATCATGAGAACTTACCATTTTTAGAACTGGTTTCCTCTAGTTACACTCTCGTACAGTAGGAGTGAAGCATCGACTAAGCCGTTAGTAACCACAAATGTACTACCTTCGGCATGGGAATATCACAAAGAGCAATAAAAAGAAGACAAACAGACTGCATATCTATGAGAAAACCATGCAAGATTGCTAGTTATTTCCATAAACAGAGAAGGATTCAAAGGTATGGATCTGTATCACACTTAAGATAGTATGCGAATTTGGAAATTTAATAAAAGGAACGCCATTTTGGATAAGGATACATGGACGAAGGATAAAAGAAATATGGATTTGTTGGATTTCAGCTCCGGGTTGCTTCAAAATTCCAAGGACAAGTCAAACTCATATGGCTTAATTCCCCCGAGAACTTTGTTTTGTGGATTGTCTTTAGAAAATATTGCAAAACAAATTAATTTTTGCATTTTGAAATACAGTTTTGCAAAGAAAATTTCTCCAAAGAGAAAAGAGTGTTTGTTTCAAACAATGTAATTGCAAAATTGTCTCCAAAACCACTTTGAGATTATATCTAAATTCTGGTAATGGTCAAAATTAGTTTCAAAATAAATATCTCTTTGTAAAATATATGTGAATTTCAGTTCTAAATAGTTTATTGCAAAATTTTCCAAAAATTAAAATTCCGTGCAAAATCAAATTTTGAATGCATGTGTTCGTAAACATCCTTTCCAAAAGGTTTGCAAAGCTGAACTTCTAGAACTATTGCCTAAAGCTTTCCTTGCAAAGGAAATTATTGTGAAAGATTTCCAAAACCTTCGTGAAAACTGTTTTCCAAGCGATTGTTTCCATTTGAAAATATTGCAATTTCTGAAAAAGGTCCAAAAAAAATTACTTTCAGGAGATTTATTTTGGGATATTCAAAAGTATTGTTGTTTCAACTATGAACCGTGCATGCAAACTATATGGCATTTTGCCCTGTTGGCAAGAGTTTTCTTTTGCAAAATAAAATCAAAGGTTGCTTTGGTTGCAGAAGTTTCTAGTTGCCGTATTGATTTTGCTAAATGTATGATTATACAAAATCTTCCTTGAAAAATCTGTTATCAAATTATATTGGGTGAGAAAATACCTCTCTTGAAAACTTTAAATGGTTTGCATACATCAATTTCAAAGGATACTTGTACAAAACCTTTTTTTTATGTTGTTACCTTTTTAAATTATTTTCAAACATTCTTATTTTAAGGGGGGTAGCCTATTATGGGAAGACCTCAAGAGAATCAATAATTTGTGAGAACAATATGGATAAGGAATACTATATATCAAGGTTTATTCACCCTTGGACAAGGAAATTGAGCAGATTCGGTACCATTGGACAGTAATACTGCACAAGATACAACCACGGCTCTCACCAACACGATTTATAGCATAATATTAAGAAATGGAGTGAACAGATGAAGAAGAAAGACAACAATTCAGCATTGTCATGCTACTATTGACGCCGAGAATTTTAGTTTACTAACCTTCAACCTACTAACTTCTAACAGAATAAACCTACCACAAGACAAGAAGACATGGATCAACCAACACCAAGACACAAGAATCCTTCCAACTTACAAGGCCTGCAAAATATGGGGATAAAACAACCCATAATGCTCTTTGAAGAACCTCCCCAAGCTTCTAGTGACAAAGAACGAGTCCAATCCTCACTAAAGCCTGAAGACTACAGCATCGGTCTAAATCACTTAAAGCAATACCCTGCAAATGGAAGCTGCCATCTGACTACGGCAAGACGGAAGGCAAATGTCACATGTTTTGGTTGTGGTGAGAAAGGACATTATGCCAATAAATGCCCCCAAAGAAGGTTGAGAGTTGGACCGAGAAGGAGTTTCCCATGGCAACCAAGGAGAGATGGCTGTTGTTTTTCTTGTGGTCAATTCGGACATTATGCGATAGACTGTACCCAAGACACCAATGAAGAACAAGAAACCCGGCCTTCGCAGATCAGCCTGGAAGAGGACCAAGACACCAATGAAGAACAAGAAACCCGGCCTTCGCAGATCAGCCCGGAAGAGGACCAAGACACCAATGAAGGTTAAGGCATGTAGTCGTTGCGGAGAGATAGGACACTACGGTAGTAATTGCGTTACTCAATGCCCCTACTGCAATGAAGACCATCCAGTTGGAGAATGCCCTACTACGAAGATCACCTGCTTCCTCTGCGAAAGAACGGATCATGTGCCCCAAGACTGTCAGCTGAGCGCCTGAGCCCGTTGCTGACCAAGACGGCAGAAGTACAAAGAGTGACGCTTCGCTTTGCTCATCAACTCATGAAGTCTGGAAGCCGCAAAGGCCCTAGATTCTCTTCCTTCGATTAGCATGTTTGTCTGTCGATCCATATTTAATGTTGAACTAGTTCGATGTCTCCATAGTTCCACTGAATCTCGAGGACGAGATTCCCTTAAGGGGATAGGTTTGTAACATCCTGAAAATTTCCGACAATAAAAATTACTAAAATTTCGAACTTTTTAAAACTTTTGCATCATGCTGGATGTTATGGTTGCTATTACTTGCCAAACTATAAATTGTCACAATAGAATATTTAATTAGTTTTTAAGAAATATCAAAGCCTAGAAGTTATATTGGATAATTTTTGGATAATCTAATGGAAAGCAAATTCATTTGGGAATTAATGAATAACCAAATAAATATTCAAATCAAATAATTGAATTCTCAAATGCAAAATATATAGAGCTACATCTCAACTCCAAATCAAATCTCAGCTATTTGAAGTTTAGTCCTCCCTCTTTCTCTTTTCCTTTTCTTCCTTTTTATGTCGGTCACTGTTTATGGGCTATCACCTATTTGATCCGGTCCCATGTCCGCGCCCGCGTCTTGCCCGTGTGCCGCAAGCCGCGCCTCCCTCCTCTCGCGCCGCATCCATCCGCTCCCAGGCCGTGCGCCGCTTCTAGGCTGTGCGCCGCATCCCTCCGCATCCGCGCTCATGCCCGGATGCCGCGCACGCGATTGACCGCACCACCTCCGCATCTCGTGTCGCCCCCGTGCACCGCATCGTGTCCGTGCCAGTGCGCCATCCCCTCCGTGCCACGCCGCGCCACGCCACGCCTAACCGCGCTCTCTCGCTCCGGTTTCCTTCCGGGAAACACGGCGCCGCACGTCTCGTCGCGCCGTCGTGATCCCATTACCCGTCGCCTCACCATCTACGGATAACGGCCACCATGTCGCTCCTTCGTCATCACCGTGTGCGTCTTTATAATACATAATATTTAGTTCATCCTATAGATCCTTTGTTAGATTTTATCCATATTTCATCCATATCAAACTGCCCCTAAGCTGTCAATGTTCTGCTGTGCTGATGATCTGATCTGATCTCGAAAAAATGGGAGTCAGAAGGACTTGGCCATGGGCCATGGCAGATCGGTAGGCACGATCTGTTGTTCACAGCTTGAGCTACAGGAAATGTACGGCTTGCAAAAGCTTACCAATGAAATGCCCAGTAGTGAATATGAATTTGCGTAAAAACATTATCAGTAATAACAAAATTATAACCCTTCAAACCAAACATTTTCAATCGAGTTGATAGCGGCTGGGCTAATTTATTATAGAGCTTTGATTAAGAACGAGACAACGGGGACAGATGGATTGAACGCGGAGAGTGGCCAGGAAACGGGGCTACATAACCGGTGAACGTAATGGCAGAGGGGACAAAAACACCATGCGATTATTATGCAGAACAAGTATCTTGTTCATATGTTCTGATGTTCATGTCGTTTGATATGAAGCATCTCTATGTACCAACTAATCAAGCCACCCAATATAACTAAGGCCCCTTTAAATTAAAGGGAATAGGAAAAACACAAAATTATAACAGAAATGTAGTGTAAATTAAAATAGAGATTACAAAATATAGAAAAACACATAAATAACCATTTGATTGGATCATAAGATAGACTCATAGAAAACTTTTCATAAGGTTCTATTTCACGTTAAATTTCCTTCAAAACTTATATGAAATGAAGCATTCCATAGAAGATTCATTTCCTTTGAATTAAAGGTGGGCTAAGTAAATTGATAGCAACCCCTTTTTAGAAAAATACCCCCAAAATCAATCACAACTTTAAATCCCTTAAGGCTAAGACCGGGTTTTTCCTCTCCGTATTTTAGATTATCATGGCATGCTTTCTAAACTCCAAATCGTTGTAATTTTTTAAAACCATATATTTTTTTTAACAAATTGGCAAGCCGCCAATTAAATCTTTTTATATATAAGTTGCATAGAATACTTTTTCTGTGACAACTTTTTAACTTTGCAATATACTAATTAATTCATCATTCGTTTGTATTATCAAACATTATCACCAAATCATACGATTTATCATCCATTTATCTATTATGACCTTTCAAATTGGGCCAAGTACCCAAGCGCACAAATATGAAACCACAACCTCTCATACAAGATCTTTAGCATTTCTTATGCTTTTGTCACTTGTACAATACAAACTTTAAAGTAGAACTATCAAGTAAATCACTAGCAAAAAAGGTTAAAAGTATAAAGAAGAGAAAGGCAGGAAAGAGAAAACATTCTTCTTTTCCTTAACCACTTCCTCTTTCTCTCACACACACACACACTAGGCACAAATTCTCATCTTGTTCTATATGTACCCAAGCCCAAAACTATAGCCCAAGTGAGTTAATACTTAAGCAGCAACTAATTAACCATATATACGAACACGTAAGTTCGTTGCATCGTACACGGTACATCGCACACCACACGTTCGATCAGGCTCTCCCGATCGATCGGACGGCTCTGGTTGGGGCACGTCACGTGCACTTGCCGAGCGGGCCGCCGCAGAGGCAGCTGTTGCTGGCGAAGGAGGCGGCGTCGAGGTGGTCGAACGGCGGGCCGGCGGGGATGGAGCCGCACAGCCGGTTGTGGCTGAGGTCGAGGTGGCCGACGTACGCTGCCGCCGACAGCGACCTCGGCACGGCGCCGGTGAGCCTGTTCCGGGACAGGTCGAGCACCATGAAGTAGGACTCGGCGGTGAACACGTCGGGGATGGCGCCCTCGACGGCGTTCCGGCTCAGGTTCAGGATGCCCAGCCCCTTGTTCTGCAGCAGGCTCGCCGGGATCCGGCCGGAGACCCGGTTGCCGCCGAGGTACAGGGAGGTGAGCACGTGGGCGCCGCCCAGGCTGTCCGGGATCCCGCCGGTGAGGCCGTTCTCGGCGAGGTCGAGGTCGGCGAGCCGGGTCAGGGAGCCGACCGACGTTGGGATGGCGCCGGTGAGCTTGTTCCGGCCGAGCAGCGCGCGGCTGAGCATGGTGAGGTCGCCCACGTCGTCCGGGATCCCGCCGGTGAGCTGGTTGTTGGTGAGGTCGAGGTGCTTCAGCGACGCGAGCGAGGTGATGGAGCTTGGGATTTCGCCGGCGATGAGGTTGTCGGCGAGGTTGAGCACGGTGAGGCGGGAGAGGCTGCCGATGGAGCGCGGGATCTCGCCGGTGAGGCGGTTGCCGGGGAGCTCGAGGATGCGGAGGTAAGGGAGGGCGGTGGCGACGCACGGCGGGATGGGCCCGGAGATCTGCTTCCAGTCGGCGAGGATGAGGGAGGAGAGGCGGCCGAGGCGGCACACCGCGTCGGAGATGTAGCCGGACATGACGCCGGAGGCCGGGCGGCCGGCGGGCGCCATGACGGGGTCGTCGGCCTCGCCGCGGAGGGTGAGGTCGGCGACGCGGCCGGTGGTGGGATCGCAGCTCACGCCGTACCAGCTGGTGCAGCAGTCGGTGCCCGTCCACGACGAGAACACCCCGAGGTGCGCCTCCGACAGCGCCGCCCGGATCGCCAGCAGCGCGTCCCGGTCGCCCGCGGAGCACGCGGCGGCGGAGGCGGACGCGACCACGGCGAGCGCCGCGAGCGCGGCGAGGAGGAGCGGCGGCGCGGCGGGGCTTGGAGCGGGAGATGATGCCATCGTCTCGTCTCGGCTCGCGTGGGCACTGCACTGCAGAGTGAGAGTGGTGAGCTCGCAGAGCTAAGCTTTATTAGTAGAGGGTGGCAGAGTGTTGAAATGACCGTATTACCCTCCACCAAGCGCGTTCGTTAAGCATTCTTCAGTTTTTTTAGCTTTAGCCTACGAAGCAATCAAAACCAGAGAATCTATAGCTGATGGAGCATTCATTCACAGTGGCCAAAATACCCATCTTACCCTTGGGCTAACAACAGCATAATAAGTAGGCTTTTAGGGCATATTTAGATAAATTTACTGTGGCAATTTTTTTAAAAAAAATTTAGTGATAAAAGGTTTGGCATTGAAGTTTTATTAATTGGTGTTTAGATACATGGTAAAGTTTTGTTATTTTACTAGTAGAGAGAGAGACAATATGGTTCTCACCGTACTTTTTAGCAAAATTTGCTACTCTAAACTTCTAAATGACAAATAACAAATTGTTAACTTTTACTACTTAGATCCATTTTGACAAAACCTACACTAAAATAGTTAAACTTTTACCATTTTGTAGGAACTAAATAGGACCTTAGTTAAATCAGACGATGGGGTGATTGGCTAGAGCTAGACCGGGCAATGGAGGGGTAGAAGAGTCATTTGATGAGGTGGGGGCACGAGCGTCTGCAGGGCACGTGCCGTGCCGGTGTGGCGCCTTTAATCTCGTCGCGCACCATATTGCGTGCGCCAGACAGGGTTTCGTCACTGGTGTTGTTGGCAGTGCAAATGATGGGCGCGATCTGCTTCGGACCGAACCCCATTCAATGCACGGTGCCATGCGAGCCGTTGGATTCTCCGATTGCACGATCACCCGTCGTCCACGTGTGTATGGATCTAAGTTATACATCAGCAGCAGCATCTTTCTTGTTCTATCTTAAAGCGTTCCAATCTGAAGATCTAGGGGAAGGCCGGCCGGGACCAGAGAAGCTTCTCGCCGATCTTAAGCTACTGCTTGTTGAAACACAGTAATTTAGCACAAAAGCCTTGAGAGGGATTTGATAGGACGAATTTGTAAAGAAATAGAAATACTTGGTGGCTTAAAATAGGCTGACATAAAAAATCTGCTTCTTCAAGTATACAGTATATGCACTATTAGTCAGTTCTGTTTGAAACATATTATCCATCAGATTATTATCGCAGACTATGTACTCATTATATGATGAATAATTTAAATGTTTGGAAATGAATTTAACAAATAATTTGAAACAATTAGTCGCCATAGGAATTCTTTTGGGAAGAATGTATTTTTAAGAAGCGTGCAGCTAACAATCTTGTTTCCTCGTTCGTTTGTTCAAATTGGAGAGAAACATTTCACGTACGCGACACAAAAAATCTCGTTAATACACGATTAAACTAAATATTAACTATTATAAATTTAAAAATAGATTTATTTAAATTTTTTTAAAAAATATATTATTAACATTTTGAAAAAGGTACTAACGGAAAACAAGAAAATTGAAGTTTAGAGTTGAAGAAAATAATATAGCCTAAAGCCCTAAACTCGAAATGGATCCTCCCCTCTCAACTCTACTACTATTAAATGAAAAACTCTTTAAACCTTTTTACAACGGATAAGTCGAAGTGGACGCTGTAGAATTTCCTCTACGGCCATATCCGACACATCATTATCTACTAGTAATCAATAAACCAGTTAGCAAACAAATTAAATTTCATTGTGATTGACGATAGCTTAATTAAGCTAGAGAGATTGCAGACAGGGACGAGCCGGGCGCATGGGCACGTGCAGCCATATTCTCGCCGCTGTGTAAGCGCATGGACGTGCCGTACTGCGCCGCAGCGTCGACCGGTGAGGTGAGGATTCATGGATGGATCGATCGATCACTTGGCGCATGGATGGATCGATCCATTGGTTTGCAGCAATCCAACGTGGGCGCGGCCGCTGGTTCGTTCTCGGACACATGGCTGGTCGATCGATCTGCCGGCTCGGCGATCGATCGACTAGATCGATGCAGATCGATCACTGTGTATCCTGCACGTACGTACGGGGTGCAAGCAACGGCATGACGACGACGAAACTTTGATTAATTAATTACTCCCATGATTAAACAAGCATACTGTCGCATATGCAAGAACTTGTTGCTGTTTGGATGGTTAATTCGCAAGCATACATATATCATGGAGCACGTTGTAAGGAGTACAGTCTAAAGGCCCATAAAGATAAATTTGTAGGTAAAACTTTATATGTGCGTTCTTAGTGATTTAAAAGTCAATGCTGAAAAAGAAACTACGTTGAAAATATCTCGAAATCAATCTTAAAACTAAATTTAAAAATTAAAAATTTAGTTTTTTCTTTGATTGATTAGGCTATCCAATAGGAGCCTAAAGAACCAAACACAATATCTAACGGAAGAAGCTCCACTAATTTAAAGTTAAAGAAACATGAATCCCTACCAGTCTAGAAGGTATGACTCATATATCAGAGAGACATCCGTTCTTTTAACTTAAGTTAGAGGATCTTCATCCGTATTTGACTGGTGTGAGAAAAATATTCATCTACAAGTTGTTGTTTCTCATCTCTGCACATGTTATTTCAGCACAATTTGTTTTTTCCTCTCGAGGAGTGAGAAGGAGATTGACTGCCCAAATACTCTCTTCAATATAAAGGATTTTAACTTTTTCTTATACTGTTTGACCACTCGTCCTATTTAAAATATTTGTGCAAATATAAAAAACGAAAATTTATGTTTAAAATACTTCAGATAATAAAGTAAGTCACAAATAAAATAAATAATAATTCTAAAAGGTTTTTTTAATAAAATATCCTTGTATTATAGTATGGTGGGAGTACTCATAATTGACCGGGACTAGTAGATAAAATGGTGATAATAATTGACCAGTGATTGACCACGCCACATGCAACGAGCCAACGACGTGAATGCGGCGGTGGACCAGGTCAGAGTCGTAGACAGGGGTGGGTGATGGGGAACCGGGCTGCAGCACCACAGCACAGCTGTCTGGACCGGTGGGCCCCACCTGGCACTCATGGCTCTTGTGATCTGCGCGTTGCGCGGGCCCGGAGTTAAGGGTCGGCACCTAATAATTAAACTAAACTGATGGAGCATTACATTGATCGATTGGGGATAATCTAATAACCAAATCCACGCAGACAGAGTGCTGAATGCCACTGATCATATGCTCCCATCGGATGGCCTAATCAGCCAAAGAAAAAGCCAAATTTTAAATTTTCAAACTTAATTTTAAAATTGATTTTGAGATATTTTTAACGTAGTTTCTTTTACAACATTGGCTTTTAAGTCATCAAAAAACATATTTATAAAAGTTTCATCTACAAATTCATTTTTATTTTCTAATAAGCTGTTTTGACTTATTAGGAAATAAGCCAAACGATGTGAACCATAGGCACGTCCCTGTCCTGACTCGTGATGTGCATTCATCCGTATCAATGCCCTATAGCTCTACAAGTAGTTTTAGTTCAGTATAGGGTTCATGTATCAGATCACATGCTGACATGCATGCATTTGACTCGTCTACTGTTATTTCAGCCTGATCAGCGCACGAATTTTAGCATTTTTGTAATGTCTTGTTAGAGCTCGTTCGGTTAATACTAAAGAATCTAAACCGATTAGTTCCACGTCTCAATAGATATGGAATTATTTTTCTTCATATCTCCTTCAATCCCAACGGAAAAAGGGTTAACAGTTATATGAACTTTTATTACTTCAATCTCCTTCAATCCCATCGAAAAGGGATTCATAGGCGTAAGCCTTAGAATTTTTTTTCTACCAAGTTAGAGATGGTTTTGTGACAGTGTCCTTTGCTAAAGCAGATAGCAAAGGAGAAGGTAACTGGCTTTACAAATACATTTTCTTTAATCATGTGGCCACATGAGGCATAGGGCCAGTAGGCCATTTCATGGAACATGGTTCCTCTTGGAGCTTTGCGAAGTTCCTTTTCGGTTTGTGGACTCAGGTGCATCCATGATCCATGTGTTGCCACAAGCAACGAAGCAAATACCAAGCCTGGATGCTTCAGCTAGACATCTCTCGGCGTCTATAACTCTGTCGGTATGTTGTTTATTAACCACGACTAAAAATCTTGGTTTTGAAACTAAATTTTGAAGTTGGTTTTAGATTTTTATTGTTCATTGATTCTTAATCCAATAATAATATAGATTAAGGATGTGTTCTTATGCCACTTTTTTCAACTCACCTCTCTTGTTTTCCACGCGTACGTTTTTTAAACTACTAAACGGCGTGTTTTTATGCAACTATATATATATACCCACACACACGACAGTTGTTTTGAAAAAATTATATTAATCCATTTTGCAAAAATAATAATACTTAATTATTTATGTAAGAATATGTGCTTCGTTTTACGTGCCAGGAACCCCTTCCGAACGCAGCCTAAAAGTTTTACTCGTAATTTATCTTTGGCTGCTTCTTTTCTAGTATATCCTATCGGCCATAGCTCGACTATCAGATTAAGAAGGAAAATCACATAGTTACTTCGTTTTTCATGATTTTTACGGTGCTATCAATAAATTCCCATACAAGATTTTCAAATAAAGGTTGGATACGTGCTAGATTACTTTAGTTTCTGCAGGAACGAACAATATAGTTTTCATTCGTTCCAAACATGGCCACAGATATTTATCAAAAAATTCGAGTGGGCTATATGGACAGACAAGTACCATCAAAATGTTATCATGAATCCGGATCTAGGGGGAGTACTATATGTTTGATTGCTTGAGACAGTCTCTTCAGTACTATTTCCTTCCTCTCGTAGAAATTAACTTCTGGCTGTGAATCTAGACATAGAGCCTATTTAGGAAACTTATAGTTGTTGCAGTTTTTCTCAGAATTAGAAGCTTCTCAAACAGTCCTGTTTTTTTTATATTCTAAGAAGCTGTAGTTGTAGAATTCAGAAAATGAGAAGCAAGAAATTCTCAAAAGCTAGCTACCAACCAGCTGCTTATTAAAATTTTAAGCTCCTCAAACAGGCCCATAGGCTCATAGTCAGTTGGTGTTTTCTTTGGAATAAGTTCATCTGAGGTCCCTTAACTTGTCAACGAATCCGATTTTCGTCCTTCAACCAGAAAACCAGATACAACAGGTCCTTCAACTGTCAAAACCAGTGCAGATGAGGTCCCTCGGCGGTTTTGGCTGACGTGGCGCTTACGTGGCTAATTTGACTTGGTCTTTATCTGATATGGCATTGACGTGACACTTACGTGGCAATTCGATCTAGAAAAATAATAAACTTCGTAGGACCCACATGTCAGTTTCACATATAAATTAATAAAGAAATGGTGGGGCCACGTGGGCCTAAATGTCAGCTAAAAAATAAAGATGGTGGGGCCCACGTGGGCCTACATGTCATTCTTAGTCTCCTCCTTCCTCCTCTTTCCCCACCTCCCCTCACTTCATCTCTCTCTCCTCTCCTCTCTTCAGGCACCAGGGAGGTCTAGCCGCCGGCGCTACGGCGGCGGCGGCCAGCAGCAGGAGCGCAGGGCGGGCAGATGAACGAGGCGGCGACGGGCAGAGTGGAGTGCGGTGGACGGAGCGGCGGGGCGGGGCGGTCAGAGCGGTGGCACCAAGCCGAAGGGGCACATATATTTATCAAAAAATTCGCATGGGCTATATGGACAGATAAGTACCATCAAAAGGTTATCATAAATCCAGATCTAGAGATGTATATGTTTGATTGCTTGAGACAATCTCTTTAATATTAATTCCTTCATCTCATAAAAATTAATTTCTAGTTATAAATTTAAACATAGGCTCGCAGTCCGAAGTTGATTTTTTTTTTTTTTACGGAGTACTCCCCTACCAGTGACGCATTAGGTCCTCCTGGCTAGCAAAAATCAAGGCCCATTAAGGACTAAAACGGCTGTAAACAATAGGCCCATAAACCACCCAATTCAGGCGTGATGGGCCCATGGAATGGTATATAACAAAGCCCCACAATCGCCGTACTCTGTCGTGTTCGTTCCGGAATCCTCTCGACCGTCGGGAAACTTGAGCCTTCAGCTTCCTCCTTCCTCCCCCATCGCCAATGGCATCCCCTTCCCTCGCTGCAGCAAATACACTTCGCGAGATCCTCCTCCTCCTCCTCCTCCCGCGTCGAAGCGAAATCGAAGCACACACTCCTCCTTTCACCTCCCCTTCACTTCTCCTCGCCGCCCAAGGGAAGGGCAAAGGTGGGGGAATCTTAGCTTACATAGGACCCAGGGGGGCGTCAGCGTCGTCTCTGCTTCTCCTTGTCTTGTTTGCAGGAATTGAGGGGAATTCTTTCTTTTTTCTTCGCTGGATTTGGTTTGGTTGGTTCGCTGGTATGTGCCTCTGATCCCTCGTCTATAGTGGCTGTGGTTCTATGCTGGTGTATGTGTATACCATCGTTGAGATGAGAGATTGTGCGCGGAGAATTTGGTGCTGCGTACCTGAATGTTTTGTTTGTGCAGCATTTTGATATTCCGTTGCTTTTGGTAGGTCGGATATGTTTATTTGTTAGTAATACTAATAGTTTCGCGTTGTTTATCGTTAGCAAAAGCCATGTAGTATCAGTTCACGACTTCGTTATTTTCGAGTGTACGCTTTGTCATCGCAAAATCTTTTGTATGGATTTTTTGGCTGAACAACATCGTGTGGAGTAGTGCTGTTGCTGAACTGATTGATCTACTTTAGTTGGAAGACCCTAATCTTGTGTTTCTCATATTAATGCAATAAAACGGGTGTCATATTTTTTTTTTTGAAAAACAAAACAAAAGCAAGTTGGAAATAAAAATGTCACCATTTTGCATGAGTTTTGACATTGAATTTGGTCATTCGTGTACAGCTGATATTGGTTGGACCGGATGCGGCTCTACTCATCTGCAGTCAATTTGCGGCGACCTTCTAAACGTACCATGTATTCCCAATCTAGTCAGTTTCATGGAGGATTAACACAGAGTTTGGGATTACGGAAGTGTTCACGCTCGCAGACATCCAGTTATAATGTGAAGCTGGGTCTTGTCGATTGTTCTCTACATAGGAATATAAAATCTTCTGACCGGCCTAGTCTGAGGTACTTTGTTAGCTTAGTGGGTCGGCAGTTCCGTTGTGGACTGTCAGGCAAAGAAGGTAGTTTAAATATGAAGCTCGACATGCCTTCCCGTGACAATTTCTCTAGTATGAGCTGGAAATGGAGAGGTTTGCATCAAAAAATAGGAGGTACAACCAGTGGACTTTGCTTAGGTTTTGCAGTTTCTGGAATAGCAAATGCTGAGGTTCCTGTGGAGATAAGCATCAGCAATTCAGCAGCATCTACCAGTTCAACTCATGGCAAAGAAGTCTATACGGATTATTCAGTAACAGGTGGGTATTCATTTTTTTAGGTTTAGCAATTTTGCTTGTTGGGGGTTAATTTGGATCTTGAGAATAGTAGTATGTGATAACATGTGATTTATTTACAAAACCCCTAGGGATTCCTGGAGATGGAAGATGCTTATTCCGCTCTGTGATTCATGGGGCATGCATTAGGGCAGGAAGACCCATACCAAATGAAGATCTTCAGAGAAAGCTAGCTGACGAATTGAGGGCAATGGTATAGCTTGTTTCTTGTGTATAGTCATACTTTTGGTTATTTGTGTTGTTTCTTTTCTAAGCTCAGATATAATTTAATTATTTCTAGGTTGCTGATGAATTTGTTAAGAGGCGGGAAGAATCGGAATGGTTAGTTGATTTGATACCCTTTCTCATCATTTTTAATGCTGCTGTAAGTTGTTATCATCAATATATTTCGATTACTGTGTTTTGATGTAATACCGATTTGCAGGTTTATTGAGGGAGATTTCGACACATATGTGTCCCATATTAGGCATCCACATGTGTGGGGCGGTGAACCAGAATTATTCATGGCTTCACATGTTCTTGAGTAAGTAGTAGGGTCTATTATGTGTTCTAGTTACATTGATTTCAAAGATGTCATAGTTCATAGCTATCACTGTCGGTAATGACACCAAAATGTTATATTTGTGCTTGCCAGCTAAAATTTTATATCGTTCAGGTATTATAGAGTTCCATATAACACAACATACATATATATAATGAAAAGAAAAAGAAACCTTTGTTTTTACTGTAGTGTGAGATGTCTGTGTGAACAGAAAAGGGATTTGATCAAGTCAAATCATTTTGAGACCTAAATTCCAACAATATCACCATGAGACGATGAATTGGATTTTTTTAATCGAATTGATTAAATTTAGGGTAGTTGGATTTTTAAAACCAAGTACACCCTTGTATTGGTGGAATGAAAATGTAGCTATCAGGTAGCATAGAAGTATGAACACTGCTTTCAGCTGTTGTCTTATAGAGTAATAGAGATCTAACATCATATTCTGTTCATAGGATGCCAATAACGGTTTACATGCATGATGAAGATGCTGGTGGTTTAATAACAATTGCTGAATATGGCCAACAATATGGAAAAGAAGATCCAATCCAAGTTCTATATGATGGTTTTGCTCATTATGATGCTGTACAGATTCCAGCAAAAAAATGCTCCAGAGAGATGACTTCTGAATTTTTGAAGTTTCAAGGTTCAAATGGTAGGATTTGGTCTTAACCCATTTCCTTCCTTTCCATGTATTTGCAAGTATCGAAGTTCTGGTGGTTGACATTGACAATATCGCGCCGGTGAGAGTGAAGACTAGCTGTGATCTAGACATTGCTTTTCTTGTTAAAAGAAGCAAAATCCACCACTCTGATCAACCTTGTCTATATTCTTCAAATGGCTTTGTGTTCAGGATCCAGGCATAGATTCCTGAATCGAGATGGAAATAGATGACAAGGCATATGTTTCTCGATGTGAATCTGCTGAAAGAGCCGAAACTGAATTGTTGTTATCCACACTCTAGTAATGCTTCTGGTAAAACGTGAGACAAGGCAGCATAAGCTTATGGATGATTGAATCCTGCTTGGTTAGTTAATACACTGATTGTAGGCACATGTAAGGGTGTAAGCCTGTAACTTACTGCAATATCCTGCATACTAATGTGATGACTATGAGACTATGACAATAGGGCACGTCTTCCTGCTAAATGCCTAGTGGTCACGGTGTTTCCTGATCCAAGTTTTGATGCCGGTGATTTGTTCAGACATCACAAGTTTCATTACCAAATTTAACTTGCATTTTTGTCGGATACTGCATCTTACTCGAACAGACCTTGTTGAATTACCAATAGAGGAATGGAGGAAGTAGCGTTGCTTCTGGTTTCGGGTTTGATCCTTGTGCTTTCTCTACTTAATGGTATGGATATGGTGCTTGTTCCAAAAAAGAAAGTAGTATTAACCAAAAAAGTTATTTTTATATTACGCAATTGGTCGACTTGTCAGGCTGAAGATAAAATTCGTCACAAGTTCTTCGGAGATAACATCCAAGTTCTTCGGAGATAACATCCCGAGGATTAAATAACGTAACGAATAGATAAACAAAACAAAGGCAAAAAAAAAACGCAACGTAAGGCATAGACAATATGCATCTAAAGTGGGTAGCAAGAAATAAAATACTACTACTACCATGTTGTATACATTGTGGGAGTATAATAAGTAACAAATACCAGGATATGCTTACTGTCTAACCATAGAGAATAAACAAATGATTTCTCTCATCCTTCTCATGGCCACTAGTTGTGGAGCCTAACTTGCTATCACTTTTGTTCTTTTACTATTGTAGCTACAACAACAACTAATGTCCACTGACTATAGTCTACCGATGTAAAGTCTACCTTTATTCACCAAGTGGTAGTAAACATTGGTGATGTACTAATTTTTGCTAGGTTTTTCGCATCTATGATGGTTTGTAGCCGGTAAGTCTAGCACACCCGAGCCTACACTCCATCCCACCACCCGCTCGGGCCAAGCTCACAGAGGCCTCCCTCCATTACTGATACGAGCACAACACTAGTTGGCGTGCTTAGGGAAGGACCGAAGGAGAGGGAGTGGCGGCGGGCATTTGTAGCGCCCGTTCCGTCGTGGCGCCTAGCGGAAAAACTATCTCTTAAAAACTCTATTTGCGAAATTTGTTTCTCTGCTTGTTGTCTAGTGTCCGTGCCATCTCAGATCTCAAATCCCCGATCTATCGTCGAGTTCAATCCCGAATCCAAATCCTTCACAAATCAAATCCCTCCGCAAAAGTCTATTTCACCTCCCTCGGGTTCGATGGGCCGAATCTCTCTCGGCCCATCTCCCCCTCCCTCCCCGGCTCCATCTCTCTCTCTCTCTCTCTCTCCCTCGCTCTGCCCGCGCGTGCGCGAGAGCCGCGCCGAGCGCCCCCCTCGCTCTCCCTCTCCCCCGCTCTGCCCGTGCGCGGCACACGCGTGCGCGTGAACCGCGCCGAGCCGAGCGCCCTCCATCCGTAGCGAGCTCCCCGCCCGCGTGGTCGCCGCTCGTGCCGCGCCTGCGCCGTCTGCGCCGCCCAGCCCCGCTGCCCTGCCGCGCAGCCGCTCGGCCCCGCGAGCCAGCACGCGTGCCCGAGCCGTGCCACCCAAATCACCGTGCCGCCGTTGCTTCCCGCGCGCGCGTGCCGTGGTGGCCGACCGCCTGGTCGCCGCCGCCGTCAGCGTCTGCCGCGCCTGTCCGCGCCTGCCGCCCGTGTCGCCGCTCCGCTCCACACCGCCCCGCCGTCATCGCCGTCGTCATCGACTTGGCCCCGCCTCTCCCCGCGCGTGCTTCCAAGGAAAGGAGGCAGGGCTCCTCCTCTCGCCCTCTCTCCCTCCTCCTTTTCCCAAAGTGGCAAGGGGGCAAGCCCCCTTTCTCTTCCCCCTTTTCTCCCTTTTCCCTCCCACCGGCGTCATCCTCCTCCCTCCTCCTTGTCGCCGATTTGGCCGCTAGCCGGAGCGCCAGCTCGCTGGCTTGACCGTTCAAAGTCGGTTCCCCTCTCCCAAACCGACATTGCCATCCTATAAAGCCCAGGCGCCCTCCCTCTCTTCTCCTCTCGTTGTCCCATCGCCTCCACTCCATTGTCGCCGCCTCCCGTGCTCTGTTCGCCGTCGCCGTTCGTCGTTGCGCGTGTCGGAGGAGCCGGCACGAGCAAGGGCACGGAAGGGGACTCCGGGCGCGCCCTCTTCTTCCTCTTCCCCAGCCCGAGGCCGGAGAGATCACTCCCGTGCCGTCGGCCCATCGTCACTGCGCCCCGTCCGCTCGGTAGTGCCTCCCTCCGTTCTTCCTCCTCGATCCATCTCCTCCCCTTAGACTCGGGTAGTAGCACGAGTACCCTCCCCGTAGCTAGCCGGCGCCGCCCCGACTGCTGCCGTCGCTCGCCGTGTGCTCGCCGCTGTCGCCGCCCGAGCTCGGAAGCGCCTCTCGTCGCCGGCCTCCCTCGATGCGTTTCCTCCTAATCCGGCGCTAGCAACGGATTCCCGTAGCCGCGTAGATGCTCTCACCGCCGGGAATCGGCCCCTCGTGACCTCGTCGCCGTTTTCCCCTTTTCTCTCCGCCGGTTGCCGCTGCCGCAATTCGCTGCCGTCGAGCTCCCTCCGGTGAATCCGAGCCGTTGGCTCGTCTCCCCTCGTCTCGAACAACCACCCGGTGTGCTCGCTTTCGCCTGTATCGCCGTGGTTCGCCCCGCCTTTCGTAGCCGCCGTCCGCCGTCCGTTCCGGCCGGCGTCTTCTTCAACCTCCCGCCGGCCCGCGTGGCTGCCACGTAGGCGCCAGTCGGCACCACCTCGGCCGCGCCCGGATCAGCTGACCCGGCCAACCGCTCCCTCCGTTTCCCCTCCCTCGCGCGCGCGGTCCACCGCGAGCCGTGAGGCTGCACGTGGGCCCGCCGCACCGCGTCCTCCGCGAACCGCGCGCGTGCACCGCGTCTCTCTCCCCGAACCCTAGCGCGCGCCGCGTGCTCGCTCCACACGGTGAACCGTGTCACCGACAAGCGGGTCCCACTCGGGACCACGCGAGGTGAGCCCGGTCCACCGGCTCCCTCTCTCCTCCCCTCCCGCGCGCCCTGCTGGGCCGAGTCCTCTTGGGCCGGCCGGCCCATTAGCTCGGCCGAGCCGCGCTTCTTCTCTCGGGCCGCGCCCTAGCCGCCCGAGGGAAGTCTACTCTTCCTCCCTCTTTCTTTTCTTTTTCAAAAAGGATTTAAATAAATCCTTTTTCCTTTAGACCAAAAATCCAATAATCTTAGAAATTCAATATCTTCCTAACCGTAAATCCGTTTGACTCTGTTCAACTTCCAAAATTCCTCAAATCTCGAGATCTATCTAATGGCACGCTTAGAGGTCATTAATAGGGCTTTATTTTCGCCGTTTATTGAGTTGTCCCGTTTCGCGTGTAGTTTCGGAGCCCGAAGACCCGCAGTGCGAGGATTTCGAGGATCAAGCTCAAGATCTCGAGCAAGGCAAGCCACCTTTGAACATCTTGGGCCTATATTTGAACTTAATTATGTTGCTTGAAAAATATTATGCATTGATAGGATCGCACTTAGTCTGCTTGTCCCGTCTGAAGGCAGATTGGCGGACCTACCTAATTTGTCGCATTTGATCCTTCCTTTGTTAATTGTTATACCATGTTCCCTTGTAACCATCTAGTTGCGCCTCGATATTCGTGCACTCTGTGCGAGTATCGACGGTCGCCTTCAAACTTAAAATCTGAGTAACTTCTTGGGTAAAACTTGGGTTTTACAAAAGACTTGGAAAACTCGACACCTGGGTCGGTGCTCGCGAACTAAATGAATTTCCAAAACCGCGGACCGGGGAACGTACCGGGTGTACAGTTTCCCGTTCTTGCACTTAAGGACCGTTTCCTTGGAATTTCATCCGAACATAAGACAAGTACGACCACATGGGTGGAATGGGACACCCCTGGCTGAGTAATTAGCTTATCAGGGGAGCCTTGATGCCGAGAGACATGTGGATTCGCCGGGGTGGTGTCGGGGAGGACCCCTGGGCTTCCTGGCACAGTATGGTCTGGGACCTAACCTGTTGTTGGTCTGGGACCCCTCTCGTCGGCATATGGTAAACCTGTGTCGGCTTTGGAAATGCCTTGTCATGAAAGCTTGGAGGTCTCCCGACGTGGCTGATCCCCGTGGGCAGGGTGATCCGGGTTAGTAATGTCGTGTGGGTAAAGTGTACCCCCTCTGCAGAGGTTAACAAACTGTTCGAACAGCCGTGCCCACGGTCATGGGCGGATGTGAGGTGATTCCTAGCGTAGTTTTGTTTGACTACTGCCTTGTGAAATTGCTGTTGTGGGAAGGGGATCGATGTTTGGAAAATCTGTAGCTGATGGGATCAGCTAGGCCCAGGTGGCCGTTTAAAAGTTGTTGGCCGGGTGCCAATCTTGAACAATTCAAAAGACTGATACATTGCACATACTCCGACCGGACGAGACGCACTGTCTCATCCGTGTCGTTTGAGAAGCACTCACTTAGTTGTTTCAATAAAGGAGTTCAAAATTAAATCAATTGCAAAAATAACAGCCTTTCCTTGAAGCATGCATTAAACACTTATTTCCCATGGCTTGCTGAGTACTCCCGTACTCACCCTTGCTCTATATAAATAACCCCCCCAAGTTGCTGAAGAAGATGAAGCGGATCCCGCTGATGAGGAGTTCTTCCAGGAGCAAGCCGGCTTCGATGAGTTTTAGGGTTTCGGCCTAGTTCCCAAGTCGCGCCTGTGATGTTTGGTTCAAGTCTTGGCTTCCGCTTCCCTTTTGTAATGCAGTTGTGAGCTCGGGATCTGTCCGCAGCCCAACATGACTGTACTTCTACTCTATAATAAAGAGACCTCTGTTGCTGTGATATTATGTCTTCCTGTGATACCAGCACTGTTTCCTGGGACTGGTATCGATTTACAGGTTAATTTGGAGCATCACAGGCTAGTTCCGGTCGGGACTAGTTCGGGGCGTGACAGCATTGGATCTGGTGCCGCGACATCATCACTAACTCTCCACCAGCTGCCGTCACTGCGCCAGATCCCATGTCAGAAGGGGAAAAAGAAAAATTTTAGGTAAAATTGAATTTGGACTTGAAATTTCGTAGGAACGTATTTTATGTCTACACCTATATCTTAAGTAAATTTTGTCATGAATTTAGCAATCTCTTAGGACCGGTTTAATTGGACCGAATCCAATCTCTTTACTCTTTAGACAAAGGAGCAAAGACTAGTTCTCTAGCCTTAGGCCGTGTTTAGTTTCAAAGTTTTTCTTCAAACTTTCAACTTTTTCATCACATCAAAACTTTTCTACACACACAAACTTCTAATTTTTCCATCACATCGTTCTAATTTCAACCAAACTTTTAATTTTTACGTTAACTAAACACAGCCTAAATAAATCAATGGGCCGTGCAGACATGCATGATCACAGCAACTGCATGGGAAACGATGATACATCTTTAGAGAAAGAATAAAAACGCAACAGAATTCGATTCCATGCTTTAATTTGTAAAAGAGACGCGAGCTCGGTGAGAAGCAAAGGATCCGATGACCCACCAGCCAACTCTTCTAATACCACCAGGCAATGCAACAAGCAAGGAATCGCGTGTCATGTCGTGTCTTTGATTTGGAGACGAATTAGCAGCTAACTAGGGCTCTTCTTTGGACGACGGATCGACGAATTCTCGTCTAATTCCGAGCGACGAGCTTCCCTGCAGGTAGGTGATTGTTCCCCTTCTGCTTCTGCAACAATGCTGATCCAGAGCTCCAGAACTACTCTCACCAACAGTTGTGATTTGTGAAGCGCAGAGGGATTATATTAATTAGAGCTGACAGTTAGAGTGTTAATTCTGTACCCATGCAGGAGTTGGCAAAGAGGCGATCGGCATTTCACCAGTTGGCGGATCGATCGATCCGTCATGGGTTAGGCTGATCATCAACCGACGATTGTGCATCCGCGCCTTCTCTGCCCGTTCTTGTTCCATCTTGTACGGCATTGGAATTCCATCATGAAAGAACCGGTACAACTGTTTTCTTCCATTTATGCACACTAGTTAGTCTGCTTTCATTTTACTATGTTCTGCATTAGGCGCTTCCAGAGAGCTTCTACGTAAATAAGAAAGATCTAGCTGTTGATTAGATAGACCGTATTATTATGACTAAGATCATTTGAAATCCCATATTAAAAGTACGTATCGTGTCCTCGCAAAAAAAAAGTGCGTATCGTGAAGGTTTTATAGTTATTATCGTAAAACACACGTAACGGTCGCTATTCCTTATATAATATATCTAGTGTTACATCGTCAAAACATCTAACTATACGTTAATAACATCGGTACCGGAAACCCAAGGTGGCCACAACACCAGCAGAACATCAAATACTGCATACATACATATACATACATATTTGTCGACATTTTCTTTCTAAAAGTTTGATAGATATAAATATACTACAATCGTAATATATCCAGCTACATCGTCAAAACATCTAACTATGTGTTAATAACACCGGTACCCAAAAACCCAAGGTGGCCATAACACCAGTAGACCATCAAAGGCTACATATATACAGAAACAATTTTACTATATATTTGACAAATTTTTTTCTAAAAATTTGACAGATCTAAATATAGTATAATCGTAGTGTATTTACATTACAACTTGCATATAGCTATAATGTAATTTTGAACCGTTCGATTTGTTAAATTCGTGCAAGAGAGGTAGGAAAAAAAATCACAATCCACGAACATGCAAGGGGATTTGGTACCATTACATCCGTTTTCACGGAATTAGCATGTCACCTAGGGATTTTTGAAAGTTATATACAAGTTACATTATAGTTACATGTAAGTTACACAACAATTACATCACGATTTACATCTGTTAAAATTTTTAGTTAAAATTTGACAATAAATGTATAGCTAATCCTGTATCAATCCGTCGTAATTTTACGAATAAGAGAATTGTACACAATTAACCATGGTTAAGGCACTACTTTTATTTGATGTTTTGATTATTTACGGACGTAGAGATATGGCATTCAGTAACTGCATTTCTTTTTTCAATGCGCCTACTAGTAAGGTGGTTGAGGTGTGTGGTTTTAGCCCCATAATATCGACTGCTCACACTTTTTTTTTCTTAATTATTTAACACAAAGTCCCTTATTAGTTATGCAACATACCTTTTTTTACTTTATTTAGATAAATTCCAATCAAATTATGAGATGCTATTTTAATATTTGCATTGTCCAATAAGCAATTTACCATTTGAATTTCCCTTAATTAATCGTATAAAGTCTCACAATGATATATAGTGGTATTCTTCACGGGCCCATTGGCATTAATTTTTAAGGCAACAAAACCTATAAATAACATATTTAGGCCAGAACTAAAACATAATTTTATATATTACTAGAAAAAATGCCCGTGCGTTGCAACGGGTGTAGGTTATTTTAATTTTATTATTGTTATACAATTTAGTTAAGGTGAAATTCGCTTGAATATATATTTTTCTAGAAAATGATGAGCTGCAATTAAGAGTCCGATCATCTCAAGTTAGTATACGAGTTTTTTTAAAGAGATTTCTTATACAAACTTAAAGCCCGACTCAAATACGGATATGTAGTTACCAAAAAAAATACGGATATGTATTTCCAAAATTGAACAAACTTAAAACCCGACTCAAATACGGATATGTATTTCCAAAAGCGAACGAACTTAAAAACGACTCATGCACGGACAACGTTCCAAACTATCGACAAAAACATATTTAATTTTTATAATAGTAAAAATAAAGATTAAAAAAATAATTTATGGACAAAACTACTATATATTATGGCCTTAGTGACTTAGAAGCCATTGTTAAAAAAATAAAAATATTTCTTAAGTCAACTTCTAGGCTGAAAATTAAAAGTTGACATTTGTAAGGTGCAAATAACTGCATGGACCATATTATGATCATTGATTCAGAGCTTACTAACCAATACAGAGCTCATTTATACTGCGCACTTGTGCAAGCACTGGGTCGGAGAGCAGCAGGGGGCAGGGGCAGCGTTGATCGAGATCTCACGCTACTTGGCGCACGCCTTGTGGGCCCCCGTATGAAGTGATCCAGTTTCCTTGCTTTGTGCAGCCAGGCCCACAACACGCCATCCAAGGAGCAGCATCAGGCCAGAAGCCCATGGACTCTAGTGAACTGTTAAGATGCACGGCGATGAATCGCTGCCCGATTTTCATACGAACAACGGAGATAAATACTCCGCATCGGACACCGCGATGGATGAAAAATATAAATAGAAACAGAAAAGGTTGACGTACCAAGGTTCATGGCAAAAAAACATCTTCAACTTTTATAATAGTAGAGATGAAGATCACCACGTGTTAGCGACTAGTGGACCTAATGTATATGCTACTGCATTTCAGGAAATCAGGGCGAGAGATGTTGGTGCCGCCAGAGAAGAAATACTAAATCTTATCTAGAGCAACATCAACATCAATAGAAAGATGACGATGATTTATTTTCAGGGTTGGTATGGTTTTGGGAGGACCGGGGTCCTTAGATCCATAGCAGAAGTTCTTCCATCCATGAAACCTTATCCCCCAGAATTACGCTTCGACAGGACTATATACATAGATTGCTCAAGGTGGAAAAGCAAAAGGGTGATGCAAAGAAAAATAGCAGAGGAGCTAAAACTTGACAATGAGACCATGGCATCGTTTGATAAGCAGGATGAGGAGGATGACTTCAGTGGAGTGGACATTTGCTCTAGGGATGCCATACTAAATGTTTCAGCAGCGATTAGCAGGATACTGAGCCAGAGCAGATTTCTGATGGTTTTTCTTAACGGGAGTGATGATGAGATCCCCCTAAGCACATTTGGTATTGCAGACTATTTTGACTGCGTAGTAATATGGACTTGGAGTAGAATGTTCCTTACCGTGATGGATGTTTCCTATTTACATAGTATTTACAGGAAAATAAAGGAAGGCAGATACACAGATCTTTTCATATATGGCTACCAGGATGCTGATAAATTCTCAAGTTCAGAGTTCGGTGCACTGTTTCGTGAAGAGGCTGCTACCATAGGTCGCTGCCCATGTCTGCAGAACATCGACCTGGAAATAGTTGCAGATTGTTGTCTCTATGGGTTTCTCATGTATTATCACAATAAACAAAACACCAATGAATTTGTTTGGCCAGCTCATGCGTCCAACTATTGGACGTGCGATGGGATCATCCAAGGGGCTAGAGCATTGGAGGTCAGTAATGCATTGCATCCAGAAGTAAGTTTCGAGTGTCGTTCTTATGAGTTGAAAAGGGTGGTTGAAATGTTGAAGATGGATCCGAAGGCCCCTTTCCTATTACTGGAAGACGACAATAAGTTTGTCTATTCAAATTCAAACAGGCCTTACCGTTGGGTTTTTGCCATCTCAAATGATACCATAGAGGAGGCTATGCAAACTAAAATGGCAAGTGCATCATCAATCTTCTTAGCAACTCAAATGTACAGTGGTGGCCTCCTTGGAATACCAGATGGTTTTTTTGAACAGTGCAGTAGCCTCTGCGTGCTGGTTCTCTCCTGTTGTGCCTTCAACTTTGTATCGCCTCCTTTCCTCCATTGCCAAACGTTAAAATTCATTGGATTAGATCGCTGTAAGAGCAACAGTACAGTTGAACTTCAAGGAAAGTGGGCATGTCTGCAAAACTTGAGGGTGATTGACCTACGCTACACGGACTGGGTTGAGATTTTCCACGAGGAAAAGATGGAGCTCATGACTAACCAGCTGATGGAGGTAAACATAGAGGGAGTTAGGTGCTCGCAGCTAACAAGTCAGTTAAAGAAAAGATTACCATGCCTTGAGAGGCTCCGGATAATCAACCCTCAGAATGAGGCTGAGACATCATCATCATCAACTGACATCAACGACATATTCGTAGACAAAACGGATCTGCAATTGCTTGATTTGTCTGGCAACAAAGAGATGAAAAATCTGCCAACAAGCATATCCAATGCAGGCCAACTTAAGGTTCTTATTCTTGACGGTTGTGACGCGCTGGAGGATGTTGTTGTGCCTAATAGGCTTCCATCATCGCTAAGGTCATTCAGCTTTGATGGCTATGGATCTGCAGCGCCCAGTCGGGCATCAACTATTGAGCTACCTCTACAGAGCTGCCGTCCTGTTCGGCGTGGTATGATTCGTATGAAGGATGTGAAAACATCCGTGATATCCCTAGAAGGCTGCACGCAGCTGGACAATCTGTTCTTGCGTGGCCTGCCCAACTTGGTGGAGCGGGACCTTTCAGGCTGTGCAATCAAGGTGCTCGACTTTGGAACTATGGTGACGGATGTCCCATGTCTCAAGCGGCTATTTCTGCTAGGCTGTGAGCACCTTCGTGCAATAAGATGGGGACGGTCAAGGTTGCTGGAGTTGCTCTGTATAGACACACGTCCTGCCCGGAAGGTACTTGGATGTGCTCGGCCATCCCTTGCCGTCGACCATAAATACTTCCGGTTACAGGTGCATGCTTGTATTGTGGATGCTAGGCTCGCTCGGTCCTTACTGGCTACGATCAATTACTATTATTATTTCAACATCAGTATCACCTCTTCAATGGCATCCAGTAGCGGAGTTGTGCAACCAGAAGAAACAAGCAAGAAGATGACTGAACCCAGTGGTCAGAAACACTGCGGTGTAGCAGGCATCTATGGTGATGTATTTAGCAAGGTCGGCGATGCCGTAACCACAATGGAGGCCTTCCCGCAGCCTCCGACCCAACAGCTGGATCGCCACATGGAGATTGGTGATGGAAGCCACAGCGTGGAGAGTGAAGTGAAGCAAGCCTATGATGAAAGCAACAAGTTAATTCAGCTAATGGTATCGTGCACGAGTCCCTGCATGTGCATGATGACTCGGCCTGCCGCCACGCCTTGGCTGCGGAAAATTGGTGTTACCTCAGGTGGTGCCGCGTGGAGAGGTCCTCCAACCTAGACGTCGTCTTTCCTCAGGGTGCAGATGAGGACGGTCGCCTGGAGATCATCTGGGCATCGGACCTCCTCAAGGCCCACTGCATATGGAGCAGAGGCATCAAGTCCTCAGATGGTTACTTGCAAAGTCTACAGCACTTGCACCTGCGCTCCTGCCCAAGCCTCCGGTTTGCGCTTCCAATGGCGCTCCCCTCCTTCCCCAGCTTGGAAACCCTCCACATCATCCACTGCGGCGACCTCAGGCACATCTTTGTACCGGACACGGAGTTCCAGTCGACAAGTATCGAGTTCCCAAAACTGACCACCATCCACCTACACGACTTGCCGTCACTGCGGCAGATATGCGAGGCCGTCGAGATGGTGGCGCCCGCGCTGGAGACCATCAGGATCAGAGGATGCTGGAGCCTCCGCCGTCTGCCCCGCAGTCAGGGCAAGCAGAAGCCGGCCATCGAGGTGGAGAAGGATGTGTGGGACGCGCTGGAGTGGGACGGGGTGGACGCCGGCCACCACCCTTCCCTCTACCAGCCGCCCCAGCATTCGCGCTACTACAAGAACAAGCGCATGCCCAGGGGCACCCTCCTCGGGTATGTTATCGAACCTACATATGCATGCATAGCTACATCGATCGATCTCTACATACATTGACGGATGAAATTATAACATACTACCTCCGTTTTTTAAGGGTGAATAGCCAAAGTGGTCCTCCAAGTTTCATCTTAGGCTCAGTTTAGTCCTTGATGTTTCAATCCATCCATATTAGTCCTTCAAGTTTTCATTTGAGTTCAAACTTATCCTTGAACCAACAATTCTCTTGATAAATGACACTTATACCCCCATCATTTACATATATAAGAGAAAAATTGCATGCTTGAATTTTTTTATAGATAATGCATAGTAAACTATATAAAATGAAAATAAATTATGTACTAGCAAAGTGTATACGATAGCAATTTCTTAAGTTTCATGTGCACATGTTGAAATAATAGGAAGTACATCTGCAATTTTTTTTATTCATCTTGGTTTTCTCTTTTCTAGTTATAGTTATATGCAAATTAAGGGCAAAATGGATATTTTCTAACAGAAATATTGACTAGAAATAGCCATATGGCATATTAAGTGGGTCCAAGGATGATTTCAAGCCAAAACAAATATTTAGAGGAGCTATGTGGACAAAATGAAACGTGAAGGACTAAATTGAGCCTTAGATGAAACTTGAGGGACTATATTAGCTATTCTCCCGTTTTTTAATAGATGACACCGTTGACTTTTTTTATATGCTTGACCATTCGTCTTATTCAAAAAAAATTACGTAATTATAATTTATTTTGTTATGAGTTGGTTTATCACTCATAGTATTTTAAGTGTGATTTATATCTTATATATTTATAAAATGTTTTTAAATAAGACGAATGGTCAAACATGTGATAAAAAATCAACGGCGTCGTCTATTAAAAAACGGAGGGAGTATCTATATAGTATCTGCTACTGATTACTGCATCCGATTATTATACATCTGCTACTACTAAATAATTAAGGCAGCGGCTTACTGATTGCTCACTCTTGATTTCCGTTGCTTCTCATCATCTCCTCTCTGCATGCCCAGGTGAAATCCTGAACCGTACGTGCATCTGCTCTGCTACAACTTCAGTTGCTTGCTCGCTTGTTATCTTCAGTAAGTGTCTGCCTGCGTGTCTTGCTGGCTAATCGGTGACTGGATTGCCGACTAGCACAGCAGTGCTACCTCGTGTTTTGATTTATCAGTTTGTTCTGCGAGCCAGGATATGGGGCTTCAGGTGTGCCCACTCCGTTTTCCGTGTGTGCTCGGCCGAGTGATGAGTGTGTGTGGCTTTCGCTTGAGTACGAAACTGTACGTACGTATTGAAGCAACGGCTGGTTGTGGTTGTGCCTGCCTCTGTCTGTGTGATTGGTGTGGTCTGAGCTCATGATGAGCGAGTGTGTGTCTATCAGCTACCCCTGCCTGTTTGCAGCGGATCAGAATAGCTAATAAGAATAAGCAGCGGCTGCGCCTGTCTGCGGCTGCGCCTGTCTGCTCGTGTGGTGTGTGAATTGTGATTGAGCATGGGGAGTGCTTGATTGCTAGTACATTTATATGTGTGCATCTGATGGACCAAGTGGATGCTGCTTGTTCATGCATGCATTCCGGCTGTATTGGTGAACCATAAGCTGTACTGTAATACATGAAAAAACTTTGTGGCATGTGATTGTTATTCTATATACTTTCAAGTGTGTGCCGTGCTACAGATGTTTGGATGCACGCAGTATGTGTATCTGCTAGTGCGTAACGCCAAAAGAAATACGAATATGCTGCTGACTGCTATATATATATATATATATATATATATATATATATATATATATATATATATATATATATATATATATATATATGCTTCAGACAATATACACTGTCCACACTTATGCTTCAGACAATATACACTGTTCAAAAACACTATTTATTCGGCTGAATACTATTCAGTTTACTATTCAAAAACACTATTCAGTTTACTGTTTAAATTACTGTTCAATGCTGTTCACTTCGAGAGATATTTTAACTTTAGGATCTTTGCAGGGTGGCGAATCCTATTTAGACAGCCTCAGAAGCTTGCTTCAGATGATGTAAAGTCCTACTCGGTACTCACCGTATGCCTCACCTATCTGTCTTTTTAGAAGCAACTTAAAAAGATATTCCAAGTCACACTTGTTCTAGCTAAGAGTTTATCGTCTCCCCAGGCAGTTCCACCCGAAGGGAACACTATTGCTCATCTTGAAATATTGCTCATCTTGAAAATAATGGAGCAAAAACCCATATATGTTGTTTTTGACGGAAAGCTTCCTGGAGTGTACATATCTTTTGAAGAGATAGTAGCCCAAAAAATAGATGCAAAATTAATGGGTGGATTGTCATGGAAAAAATATATAGATTTTGATGAAGCTTTAACTCAGGCCAGAAAAATATTAGGAATAAACTACTACTTGGAACCAGCAGCAAAAGAATATATACAAAAATGCAAAAAAGCCAAAAATAAGAAAGCTCCAGAGAACCCATATTGTTCAAATATTAAGAATGAAGGATCATCCCAAAAACCTACGTATAAGGAATGCTTGACTAAGGGAGTAGATCCTTTGGATGGCGAATATATCGATTGGAAAATAATTGAAAAATTTGAAGAAGCATCCCCCAAATTAAAAAAGAATTGAAAGAAGAAATACTTAAAGAATTAAAGAAAGAAATGAATGATAAATTTGAAGAAATGAAAAAAGCATATGATGAAAAATTTGAAGTCTCCTTTTCTGATGTAGATACTATGGATTTAGGTGGTCATGGGCAGCCTGACCAATAAAGCAATATAATATAAATTGATAATAAATATCCATTCTTTGGGCGTGGGAAGACTATATTTGCGAATGACCAAAGTATGAATTGAATTTGAATCAATCCAAAATGCAAGGACAGTGAATAACATTTGACTGTTAAAAATACTGTGGAGAATATTGCTTTCGGCGGAAAAGAAAGGCGCAGGTACAGAGGTGTCTCCACCTTGGCCAATTCAAGGACAAAGTAAAGCCAAAAAGAAGATAAGCATCTCCATGGTGCGAGCCAGCTCGTGAAAATACAGTATCTAAAAGATAAGCTTGAAGCACAGTCGAGCCTTCAGAGCTCCTATAAAAGGAGGGGTTTGCTCAGCTGAGAAGAACAACGAAGACACCATTCAGAGCAAAGCTTCCAAGCGCGCTCTCACCCTCCATTCCACCGTTCTTAGTAGTAGTGACTTTAGCCTACCTTGCATAGTATATTGAAGCAAGGAGGTGTGTTATAACGCTGTGTAAGGTAAGAACAGCTTGCTTGTACCTACCTTCGGGTTTCCCGAAAGGGAAAACCGTATGTAAGCTTATCTGTTTAATATGAAGTAATTTTCCTTAAGTATTCCTGCACGTTTGTTCTAGACAAGTGTTTATGCTAAGGACCCTATAGGAGAAACCTCTTCGGTTTGTTCTCGTTTTTAGCCTGCATCTTGTATAGGCGTCTGGAGAATCGGTATCCGTAGAGAAGTGTTCCCTTCGGGTGGAACTGCCTGGGGAGACGATAAACTCTTAGCTAGAACAAGTGTGACTTGGAATATCTTTTTAAGTTGCTTCTAAAAAGACAGATAGGTGAGGCATACGGTGAGTACCGAGTAGGACTTTACATCATCTGAAGCAAGCTTCTGAGGCTGTCTAAATAGGATTCGCCACCCTGCAAAGATCCTAAAGTTAAAATATCTCTCGAAGTGAACAGCATTGAACAGTAATTTAAACAGTAAACTGAATAGTGTTTTTGAATAGTAAACTGAATAGTATTCAGCCGAATAAATAGTGTTTTTGAGAGTCTAAGTGTGAGAGTCTATGTAAGAGTCTTTGTGAGAGTCCTGTACCTATATAATTACGAACGTGTTGTACCAAGTCCTTGGTGTAATCTTCAGAAGGAACTACCTTCAACCTATCAAGGTATATGAATGAACACCTGGACCGTTCTATATAAACCTATTATGTTCTAAATATCTAATACATAATTTGTATTTACATCTTTATTTCCTGTACTGCATTTATGTTTGCATAATAATATAAAAAAAATTTAACAACCTGGATTGCCATCCAATTGTCACATACTAATCTCACATCCAAGATTGCATATAGATAAGCATTTCTATCCTCATATCTGGTGACTAGACCCCTAGTCACTGCCCTGGGCCAGAGCTGTTTTCTGAAACCACTGAGCCAGGCTTCTGTAGTAACTTTTCTTGGAGCATTCATTTCCAAAATCCGGTTTAATTATGCGTCCTGCTCCCTTAAAGTATTCAGAACTTTGGTTGTAGAATTTGCTGATAAAAATCCTTGTGATTTTGTTTTGGAAAACCAGCTGATATTCATAATCTGTGGTGATAGCTTCTTCAATTTCTGCAGCTTCAGAAAATAATCTCCAATTTTCATGATTAGCAATTGTTGTATATATTTCTTCCTCTTCGTCCGATAGTTTGCTAGGACCGTCTTCTTGAAAATTAAATTGTCCATTCATGATATATATATATATATATATATATATATATATATATATATATAATGAATTGCTGGACGAACAGGTGGTGTGAATTTTGGTGGTATTGAGGAGAAGATAATCCTGTATCTTCCATGTCCAAGTCTCCTGCAGACATCTTTCACAGCGTTTCCTAAATCAGATTGAAGGATCTGATCGAGGGTTGCATATATGGAATTCACAAGACCATGATCTATAATGGTTTGGAGAGATATTTCTTCATGGTTGTATGTGGGTAGGTTCCGGAATCTTTGAAGATTTATCTCAGCTTTGAGAACCAGGAATTTATAGGATGGGTCAGAGATTGCCTGATCATCTAGCCTTAAGAGAGGGAGCATATATATGATTACTCGTATGGCTGGGTTTCTTTCTCTCCCTTCTAAGAGATCAAAGAAATAATCTTGGAGTCCAAGGAATATTTTCATTTGTCTCTCCTTAAACTTTTGCCAAACAAGATCGAGGATGTCTTGCCCAAAGCAGGATAAAGTTTGCTCCGTTTTGAAGCTTAATCTAGGTTGGAGATTTTCGTATGCAGTACTCATGGGATTTTGGCTTTTAGGTTTCTTTTGGCAAGAATCTTTGTAGGCACAAGATCTACATGGTGCTTTTGGCTGGGTCCGGAGTATATATTGTGGAAGGAATGAATTGGGATGATTATGCAGTATGTATGGTGTTTAGGGAATGGTATCATGCTTTTTGGTGGATGATGATGGTTTATTATGTGGAAAAGATTGCAATAGGTTATTGATATTTATGTGGAAAGCAACCATGCTCGAAGCAGGATCTGTTGAGATTAAAATCTTATCTGAGAATACCTTGGTATTCTTATCTGTTGCCATAGATTGTTCAACTTCCATGGGAAGTTTATCTTGGCCATCACGGGATTTCTCCTCGCGATAATCTAGTAACCTCTCCTCATAATGAGGGATATCTTGTATTTTAGCCCTTTTTTATGTTATCTTTTGATCTGTGGGCACGAAATTTTTGAAATAATATGCCAGGCCATTTAAGGCATGAGCTTTTTCTTTTTTGTTTTTTGTTTGCCACAAGAGGTTTAATAACCCTTGTTGTAGCTCTGTTATTCTGAAATTGTGATTAAATCGTTCTCCATGGCCTCTGGGCAATTGGGGCAGTCTCCATGAACTCATATTTGTGAGCCATTCAGACTTCTGTGAAGCCATTTCCCTGCATATATATTCAAGATCTTTAGTAGCTTTTAATAAATATCTATCTTCCCATGATGTCTTACCTGGCAAGTCCATAGATTTCGGAAGATATGATGGGAAAGAATTGTCGTGTAAATATATTGTATTCACAACTTGTTCTCTTTTGGTCTGAACAAGCTGGTCAAGAATCTCATCTGTGTTAGACGAAAATCTTAGGCTCACCTGTTTGCCCATTATCTTAAATTGAATATCTTCGTTTGTGACTAGGAAAGGACGAATAAGTGATAAAAATGGTGTTCCTAAAATAACATCTTGCTTAAGATTTTTAACAAGTAGGAAAGATGTTTTAATGCAAACTTCAGTTATGCAAATATAGATTTCAGGGATTTGATATTCTACTGTTAAAAGTCCTCCATCTGCCCCACGAATTCTGTGGGCGGCTTTATAGAAATATTTATGAGGGATAATACCTTCTCGAATGCAATTGACATCAGCACCAGAATCAATTAAAGTAATATGCTGGAAGTAGGATCCGTCTATAAAACGATACATAACTTCTGTGTACCATTTTTGCTTCATATATTTTTGAATGGTTCCAACAACATGATCATCTTCTTGAATTGGTTCGTCCTTTTCTTCCATATGGAATCCTTCTTTTGATTCTAACATGTATAGACGCTTTCTTATTTCTTCTAAATCTTGTTTCATAATTTTTTGGTCTTCGAATAGGCTGATCAAATCTGGTTGCTCATTCTTCTTTTTCTGTTCATCTAACCTTTTAAACACTTCATCAATAGAGAGGAATTTGCTCTTTTGAATATCCTTTTTTAGTTTATCCTTATCAGTTTTGACTCTTGAAAGGAATTTTTCGAGGACTCTTCTTTTTTCTTCTGGATCTTGAATGGTTTCAAAAGTATCGAGAACAAATTCTTCTAAACTGGTTAAAACGAGTATATTTT